ATAACTCTTTCAATTAACACCTTAGCATACAGTTTACCCACAATGCTAAGCAAGCTGATACCACGGTAGTTTTTACAGTCCTGCTGTGACCCCTTTCCCTTATATATTGGAACTATAACGGCTTTGCACCAGTCTTCCAAACTAAACAAGGTGTACAGCAGGCCTGCAATCACACCCTCACCAGCCCTTAGCATTTCGAGTGATGCTCTATCATATCCGGCTGCCTTACCTGCTTTCATGCTTTTCATTGCTTTCATTATTTCATCTACACTTATCTCCCTACCTCTCTCCATTTCTTCCGGAATTTCTATTTCACTTATTTCAGACGACTCTTCACTGTTAAACACAATTTCAAAGTATTCCTTCCATCTCTTTAAATTCGAAACTTCATCATTCAGCATGCAGCCATTCTCGTCTCGTATAGCATTTATTCTAGGCTGTTTTGAATTTTCCCTGACAGGTCTTACGAGCTTCCAAAACATTTTAATATTTTCCTGGAAGTTATCAGATATCCTTCTATCATTTTTATCTATCTTTCTTGCTTTTTCCTTTCAACAACTTCCTTTACTCTCTTATTTATACGTCTAAAGTCTGCCTTTTTTCTTTCAATCTCATCATTCATACCGCCAGAATTACCAGCTTTAGTTGCTAGTAAATCTAGCCATGCTCTCTTCTTTGCTTCAACTTCCATCCGTACCTCATCATCCCACCACAACGTATTACTTTTCCTTTCATTCGTTCTCTTACTTACACCACATACTTCGGTGGCTGCATCCACCAAAACCTTCTTAATATTATTCCATACATTCTTCAATTCTAAATCATTCATACATAATTCATTCAACCCACTTATGTTTTCCCTCAGTCTGCATTTATACTTTTCTTTCACACCTTCATCTTGTACCCTCTCTATTCTTATACGCTGTAACGCAGTGATAGACACAGATGTCCGATGCCGCCAACGTCTGAATAGACCATTAATTCGGCATAAGACCAAGTAATGATCCGTCCCTACGTTGGACCCCCGGTAAACCCTTGTATCTACCACTGCGCTCCTCATTCTTTCATCCACAATTATAAAATCTATCATGCTTCTGTCATCCCCTCTTTCCCATGTATACATGTGAATCCTCTTATGGCGAAAGAAAGTGTTCGTCACAAAAAGATTATTTTCCACACGTACGGTGAGGAGGTCTTCACCATTCTCATTTATTCTTTCATCGCCAAACGTTCCTAATATCCTTTCATAACCAGACCTCTTCACCCCAACCCTTCCATTAAAATCTCCTAACATAATAATATTTTCATTTTCCTTACATTTCATCAACACCAGTCTTACCATGTCCCAAAACTGCTCTCGGAAATAAGTGGGCTTAGACATATCTGGGGCGTACACCCCTAGCACAAACAACTTATTTAAGCCCACTTTCATTCGTATCCACAGCAGCCTTGGGCTAACACATTCATACTCTTTCACACATTGACCCATTCTTTCTGAAAGGATGACACCGACTCCCTGGCATGCCCACTCGGTCTCATCTACTCCAGACCAGTAAGCGGTATACATGCTATGTGCAGTGACATCTCTTCCCTTTCGTTTCGTCTCGTTTACACATAACACATCTATTCCTCTATCATTCATCATTTCGCATACTTCATCCATCTTATCATTCATTGTTCCACATACATTCAGCGTAGCCAGACGGGCCTCCGCAATCCACTTCCCCCCCCCCCCCCGGGAGACAGGACGTGACGGGTGGCGAACATCGTCGCCGGTTTTTCTCCCGGAAATTCTTCGCACCCCTGGCGCCGGGAACTCGGGGCCATTTCTTTTTCTTCTTGGCTCATGGTGCGAACTAAGGGGTGGTAGATTTTAAGCCGCTATCATACGGGGAGGAGCCGAGTCTGTCGTTTCGGCTTTGTCGCTCGTTTAGCACCACCCGGAGGACACGTGTAGGGTGGGCCTAGGATTAGGTGGTCGAAGCCTACGGACACGAGCGACTCATCCCCCATTATTTATCATCTACTCATTTACTTATTATATCCTCGTCTTCATCATCATCAGGAATCGATATCATATCTTCTGCAATGTTTATCTCACTGTCACTATGGACGCTCATAATATCTTCTTCTGAGGTGGTTGAATTATTTTCATACTTATAATATAATTTTCTATTTCCAACTGCCAATTTTCTTTTTTCATTTCTTCCGTATGAAAATTAGCCTCAACCCAGTCTACTATATGGACATCTAAATAATTTTGCTGTCTTCTATTATATCAACATTACTCCGAAGATTTATTAAACCATTCATAGAGTAAGTGCTTGAATGCCTGTTTTTGTTTTGAACTTTCTTTTTGGAATACTAGTTTTTGGCTTTTGACATTTTTTCGCATCTTTTTCAATATTTTGCTTTAAAAGAATCTGAGTGATTACTTCTGTTCCTTCATCGACTCGGTTTTTTGTTGTATTATAATTTTTATCTCACTGGATCCGTTCAAAGAAGAGTTCTTTAAAACTGATTTTAAATATCATGATCATCTTTCTGATTTCTCAAGCATTGATTATTGGTTTGCCACAAATGGTACAAACTCGTAGTCTTTCTTTAAAACTTGGTTAAATTATTTCACATTTTTAGATTTAAAACCGGTCTCTTCAGTAATTGGAGTACATTTTTGTGGCTGATAGTGTTTATTCAATATATCAATGCACATCGATCTTAGTTACTTTGGAACTGCAGATTTCAGCTAGATTCGTGGGCTTTTTCATATTGTATAAATTTTTTCAAAGTTTCTGGATCAAAGTTATGGAACTACATTTGAGTTTAATGGATAAATTCCAGACTTTTTGAACCCATTTTAATAACTTCAATATCTGTCTGTTGCCATGTCTCAGGAAAAGTTTACGCAAATACATGTTTTGGCATTTTTTCCCAACATTATGGCGTTGCCATTCAACTAACTTTCTGTCCCATTTTTTCATTTTGATTTGAATGATTTAAATACAACTACATCAATTGGCTGTGGCAAATACGATGTATGAGGCGGGAGTTTCAAGATAGTTATATTATTTTTTACAGCCAGTTTAACCACATCAGCATCGACATGAGTAGATTGACCGTCGTAAATTAATAGAACTGTGCGGTCAGTACGACCAAGGGATGGAATGAGAATTTTATCTATATAATTATGAAATATACGGGATGGAGTTTCAAGCCCCTAGAGTCGACAGCATAGGACAACTCAAAATCAAATTCATCCAATTTCCATCCATTGGACCCACATTTATTTCACTTTAAAAATTATTAAAGGTGATTTTTTACTGGCGGCATTTACGGGCACTAAGACAGTAATATTTTCCTTTCCCGTCACAATATATGGGAAAGTTTCATGGGTTTTGATTTTTTCGCGCAGAACCTAATTTTTTTCTAAAATAAAAGTAGCCTAAGTTACTCCTTATGACATCAGCTATATGTAGTGAAAGTCCCGTCAAAATTGGTTCAGCCATTTCGAAAATTAGCCGCAACAAACAGACAGACAGAAAGACAAAAATTTTTAAAATTGTTTTTCTTTTTATTATAAGTACCGTATACTTTCATATGCATTTAGTAAAAAGATGTTATTATTGAATAAAACTACTTTTACGGATTTTTTCACGTTTAATAAACTTATTTATCTTATTTTTATTCATACCCGAAGTTACGGGTGCTTTCCAGCAACCGTGGTCACGGGGCACTGAGGTGATTGACGTCCCGATGTCAGAGTTAACCCGGAGTACCTTCAGCTTTTTTAATTATTAATTTTGGTCCGATCTACGCAGAATTAACTTACTGTGTCTTGAAGTCTTGCAGTGGCATGCTTGGGTTTAGTTTTAATTTTATTAATTACAGGATCCCAAGTAGGTGGTAGTCCCCAGCCTCCCTCTCTATTGAAATTAGGATGTTTTTTTAATTTCAATGGCCTCGCGTATCATCCTTGGCAGGAATCGATGTTCTTTCGCGAGAATTTGTGGTTTATCAAATCTAATGTAATGACGGGGGTCGTCTAGGATATGATCACAAACTGCAGAATTCCCGGAACGTTAGTGCTTCACGTCAGCTATGTGTTCTTTTACGCGGGTTTTTATTGATCGTTTTGTTTACCCTATATATGAGAGACCACATTCACAATCAAGCTTGTACACTTCTGCATCTTGTAGAGAAATATTGCACTTGACGGATGGTAAGAACTGACTAATCTTCTTCAGCCGCTTGAAGAATGTTCTAATAGAAGCTCGCTTCAAGATGTAGCCAATCTTGTCTGTGACGCCTCTGACATATGGTAGTACAGCAGGCACACGCTAGACCGTGGCCGGCTTCACTCGGTCACTGTGACGTAGGCACGGGACCCGAAGCTTATTGTCGTGCAGAACCTGCTTGACGTGCTGAAGCTCGGCGGCCAGGTGTTTGCTGTCACAGATCCCTCGTGCTCTCTGTAACAAAGATTTGCCCACGGTAGCTAACTGTGAAGGATGATGGTGAGATTCACCGTTTTAATATTGGTTTGTATGGGTCTTTTTTCTATACTTAGTGTGACCTATGGTGTTATTAGGTTTTCGAATGACTAACACATCTAAGAAAGCTAAAGAATTATTTGCCTCTAACTCCATAGTAAATTGAATTTTAGAGTTTATGGAATTAAGATGTTCTAAAAATTCAGTTACTTTGTGTGATGGTAAAATTGTGAAAGTAAACGTCGGGTATAAATAAAAATAAGATAAATAAGTTTATTAAACGCGAAAAAATCCGTAAAAGTAGTTTTATTCAATGTGTAGTGTTCGCGTAAATATAAGAAATCATTAAGATGTTATTATGCCATTACAAACAGACACTTCCATTTTATTTATTTGTATACATGTATACCTAAATGATAAAAATGTATTCGCTATTATACTTATAATGAAAATATAAAAGTATGCTAAATTTAATTACTTTTGCAATGAAACTATTTCTGTATTTTACAGATACAATGGTATGCCTATAGGATGTAGTGATGATGAATTTCCCTGGGGCAAAAATACACCATCACCATTAAATAGTAAATTTTTTTATGGTAAGTTCCCTATGTCTTCTTAATAATTTTAAATGTCACTTAAAAAATTATAGCACACAGTGATATGCAGGACATATGATGTGATTGGTCCTATTTTTTGTATAAATATGTGAGAAAAAATATAAAAAAGTGGTGTTTATTACTTGATTCTAATAAGAATCTTCTTAGCCTAAATAGCACTTTGTAATAACAAAGTGCTATTTAGGCTAAGATGTTTTTAAAAGTATAGATACGTCATACTCGCTCTAAAATGGCAATACGAAAGTCAGGTAATGGGGTTGGCAACTGTCAAAGTGGCGCTAGCATAGCTTTAACCAAAAAAAGATAAAACTGTATAGGATATTTTGAAAAATAAATATTTTCACAATGCCAAAGATGTGTGAAGTGCCAAGCAAGTGTCAAGCACGAGACTTTGACATTGACAGGTAAAAGTTATTACCGGCCAACCCCATTCTCAGACTCGGATTCAGTCGGGCACGCTCTCGCTTCGCGGCTAAAATCTTCTAGTTATTCGTGGCAAAAATGCCTTCCTGTGTTTTTACGTGGTGCACAAATTACACGACAACTGTTAGAGACTAGAAAAACGTCTTATTAATATTTTGAATATAGATGTTTTGTTCATAATTGGTTTTATTATTTTAACACTAACCGCTAGTGTAAACTTTGACGCTAGCTAGTGTATTCATTTTCCATATCGGTATGTCACGCACTCGTGCCAATGAGCGCTCGGCAGCAATCAATACGCAACTAATGATGTATATTCATCTTTTTCTAACGAAAGGTATGCCCTATCATTTGTCTCTTTTTGTTAGCGCAACGTGTCATAATAAATAAATGTACGTAGATATTGTACTTTAAAATGCAATAATGTTAGTGTGTAACCTGTCTATCTTTTTTAATACGTCTTTATATTTAGGCATAATATATAATGATATAACTCAGTTTTGACACTTTAAACTCTTCACCACAAATAATCATTCAATATTTGATTTGTTCCAAAACTTAAAACATTTTGAAACATTAATCCAAGCATACGTTTGTAAATTAGCTTCAGAAGCCTGGGTATTAGGTGAGAACAAGCTGCGTATTTTGAAAAGAGCCCTGACTGGACATTGTTGTTTAAAAAAGCACATGACCGTCTTGGAGCTAAGAAACTCAAGGACATGCTAATTACTATTCTGATTCTTAACAGAAGATACGCCTCTGCACTTCCTCACTGATTAAAGGACAATGTCCAAAATCGCCCTGTGTAATAAAAGCATCGGACATACACGATAATTAATTTTCTATTTTATTATGTTAGTTGCAAATACTTTTATAACACGGACTAGCTGCATGCAAAAATAAACATTAAAAAGTATTTTACTCGACTAATAACATTAATAGCCGCCATCTTCGCCAAACATCATGTGGTGTTAAAAAATGATTAGGGATGCCCAACCGATTATAATCGACTTTTGAATACATTTTGAATTTATTTCGAATAAAGTTTCAAAAAGAAGCTACAATAAAAGTATAAAATTACCATTTCTTTATATTCTTTTATATTATTCCCTAAAAGTATAATTTAAAAAACCTACTATACCTAATGAATGAGGTCATACTCGATTTTATATAGGTTAGTTAGAATAATGCTGAAGAAAAATATTCGTAAAGATAATTATTCAGGATTTTTTAACGATAGTTTAGAAAGGATTGTATTTTACGTCTTACTAAACGATAACGTACGAGTTTTTCAACAATTAATATTAAAAAAAAACACTTATCGTTACTGCACTAATTATAAATGTGTTCTTTAAAAAGAGCAATATTGTAGACTAGATACAGACGTTATTATTAATATTGTTACAAGTATGGAAAAAGTAGAGACGTACGTATATAAATACGTATTACGTAATAAGTAAAGTAGGGTATTGTCATACTTGTTATGGTATTAATATTATCGTATGACAAAAGATGATTTGTGATGTGATGTGTTTGTAACGTATGGTTATAATAAATTTTGGGAAATATTCATATATCGTATTGTATTTGGCGCTCCTATTTTTGATGTCCCTAAATTGTCACTTGTCAGTCTCTCATGAAAAAAATACGATCTCCAAATCAATTCAAATCGAACATACTAGAATCAAATCTGGATTAAATCAAGCATTAACAGATCTATTTTTGATCAATCGTGACATTTTCAAACATGCCTAATATGGACAGAGAACATAATTATTGACGATAATTTACCGTAAATACAAATAATTGTATAGAAACATCATTAAATAAATTAATATAACATCACGCTTGTATTCCTCAGAAGGAGTAGGTAGAGGTGTGTAGTACTAAATAATACGTCCAATGTAATAGAGAAACAAGCCAAACACCGGACACTAATCCAGACTCCGTGCTACTACTGGGAACTTCAAGTTATAAAAAAAAATTGTCATACCCTGGGATTGAACCCAGAACAGAACAGTTTTTCTTTCTGTCACAAGGAACAGATGTTCCACCTATGCAAAAGTATTTCTTGAATTGTTTGAAATATTCTTGAATAAGTCTAACTCGAGAGGTTTTTGGATCGATTCATTGAATCGATGGAGTGTTCTAAGTCGATATCAGGACATCGGATAAGGATTCTTCAGATCTATATCGATCTGGAAAATCGATTATTTTATTATAAACAATCGATTAAACGATTTCAAATCGACATGCCTACTTTATACTGTCATCTTTCACTCTGTCAAAATTACATTGGTTGGTGTCGTTTGCTTTTTGTAATTGTATCGGTGTTTTGGTGACTTTCGGGACTATATATCGAACATTACGACTTATTATGCTATTTTAACGGACTCTGATTGCTTTCAATAACGACTTACCTTGCTGTGATTTTCGGGACTGTGTACCGCTCATACGATAACTTAGCATTAATAAACGGACTTACGCATACGCAATGGAAAGTGCATTTTGTGTAAATTGCGGCTCTGCTGGTGGCTCAATGTTGTTGAAAGATGAACAGAGAAGCAATCGTGCAATATTGCTGTAATTGCATCATTGTACGTCGAACCATCGGTAGCTGCGCCCATGTTATGACCATCACCATTTAGAAGATGAACAATATACATGAAATTAATCTGTGTTTTATTTCTAATTCAAATATAATAAATTAATGTAGTTTAAACAACTTATACTCCCAATTAGGTGCTAACTCGGTAAGGCTGGTTTCATAGTCACGCGTTTGAACAGCGCCGTACACGCTTGCAAATGCACTAGATAGTAGTCGATAATATTCACGCTGTTCAAGCGCGCCCTGTTGAAAATTCGTTAAAACCGTGGTTGATACGCTCGCTGTTCGACGGCATGTCTAGCGGTGTGACTGAACCATCCTAAATTCTCTACATTTAGGTACTAGGTATCTTACCGTTCCGTATATGCTAATGACAACATCTAAATGCTAACAGCCATTATATACATACATTTTAATTTTTACATGCATACCCAAAATTATCTCTCATTTCGAAACCAATGCTAAGAAAGCATGTTTATTAACTAGATTCTATGCATTTATACGTTACAGTTACATACACTTAGGCTTTAGAACAAAAATAGCATACCTAATTATCTAGATAGGTACTAAAAATAGCTAAATGTTTTAGGACGTCATTTTTCAGTTTGTAAAAAATCACTCGGAGCTATGAAAAACCGTAATATTCGTGGTTCAATTATAACCTCAAAATCTGATACTTTTTTTGAAATATATCTTTTATGCAGCTAGTCCGCTATAAAAATAAGATCATATAGGAATTTACTAATGATCGACAATAAAACACACAATTTTCCGATGCTCTTGGTTCCAGGGCGAACAATGTATGGGAGCAGAGCAATGTCCTTTAACACTCATCTGGGAAACTGTATACTGTATATAAGCTCAGATGAAGTCAAAATGCTCACAGCGAATCCTTCACTTCTAAGCCACATTTCTTTAGTGTATTGAAAAGCAGCCATCACAAAAGATCTTACTGGGTGTAGTAATACTGGTCTTATTAGATCTGCATAGCTGCTTGCACTTAAAAAAATTGAGCTGTATTTCATTAGTTAAATTATTTAGAAACTCGATTCCATTTAAAATATATGATGTAACAGTCAGTACAAATAAAAGAAGGTAGAACTAAACATACTAATTTTATTTTATACTCGAATAAAAATTTCGGCAGAGTTTCGTTTTATTATGAGCGGTATTCTTCAACAGATTTGACAGCATACAGGCAACTGAACAGACAGATCTCCAAATACATGCGGCGGGACTTACGCAACTTCAATACAGTGTGTATTGAAGAAGCAATCGAGCGGAACCAAGGCTCTAAAGTCTTTGACAGAGATCTGTCTGCCAGAAAGAGCCAACTGTCAAAGCTGAAGACCGAGTGTAGCAGCATCGTTTCCGGGGCACCTGAGATTTTGAGTGAGATCGAGAGGTTCTATGGGGAGCTGTACACGTCATCGTTGGAGCCACACGCAAGTGTGAGTAACGATCCAAGAGCGAAACTTATCCGACACTATTCCGAAGATATGCCGGACGTCAGTCTGAGCGAGATTAGAAAGGCTCTCGAGCACCTTAAAAACGGCAAGGCCCCAGGAGAGGATGGAATTACAGCGGAGCTTCTGAAAGCGGGAAGACCGGTACTTGAAGTCCTTCAGAAGCTCTTTAATTCCGTCCTCCATGGTGGCATAACACCGGAGGCGTGGAGCAGAAGTGCTGTGGTCTTGTTCTGCAAGAAAGGTGACAACGCTCTCTTGAAGAACTACAGACCGATTTCCCTTCTGAGCCGCGTCTACGTGCTGTTTTCGAGAGTCATTACGAATCGTCTCGCGCGCAGACTTGACGACTTCCAGCCTCCCGAACAAGCCGGTTTCCGAAAGGGCTTTAGCACCATAGACCACATACATACCCTTCGGCAAATTGTACAGAAGTCCGAAGAGTACAATTTGCCACTGTGTCTGGCGTATGTGGACTATGA